CAAGTGTAGTCAACTGTCTCGTTAGTAGTTAGTGCCTATCTATGTAATAAAATAGGGTGACCCACCCCCTAAGGGTAGCTGAAAATTGCACGACCCACCCCTTGCACAAGGCTCAAAACCTCATGACCCACCCCCTCTCAGCTCCGGCCCACCCCCACCTATACTTTTTGACCAGTCCCTTAGTAAGGTCTTCGCGAAAAATCGTAAATATTGTAGCTTTGATAGACTTTAGTAAAAAGGAAGATAAATTCCTGAAATTTGACGGCAAATATTAAACAGAAAAACGTTTTCTTTAACACTAAGAAATTGTAAACATTTATCAACAGCTCACCTTTTTTCCGTTTCCACTGTCTTCCCCTTGCGGAATATACACCCTGATAACTTTGAAATTAGGTGTTGAGTTCTTAAGGCCGATCGCGAACAGACGATTCACGGGACAGACTGTGAAGCAGGTCACACATTGTTCCACATCTATTGCACTTAGAATTTCACCAGATTTAACGTTTGAAAGTTGAAAAATAAAATCAGGACCGTGAAGAATACATTTGTCTTCACTGATAAACTTGCAATTTCTCCAACCAGAAAATAACGATAGAGTACGGAGTGTGCTTCCTGTTTCGGCATCCAGGAATGACATGATTCCAGCCGTCGTAACAACAAGGAACTGCCCCATAGGTGAAAAAATCGCACTGTCACCATGGAGCCAGCTGTTGATGCCTTCCTTTTTCCAAACAACTCTTGTGCCATCAAACAACTGAAGAGAGTGAATAGCGTCAGAAGGACTTGGAAACAGCTTCCGTAAGTAAGTAGTACTGATAGTTAAAAGCTGACATCTTCTGCTGCAGGCAAGAACTCTTCCTTGTAAAACTGGAATTGTTGACTCAAATTCTCCACTGTTGGTATCCAGGACTTTCACTTCACACTCTCTTACGACTGCTACTCGTTCTTCTGATATAGGGATCAACTGTTTGACTCCGGGTAAGTTGGTCCATATTTTGATACATTTCGAAAGGTCATAATCCCAAAACTCAACAAGGGTTCCAACAAGGGTTGAAATTAGAACACCTCCTCTAACAGAACACAAAGAACTGCAGAAAAGTGAACAGGTAACCCGGTTTATCTCAGCTTTAAGCTTTCCACTGAAAGCGTGCCAAGCAGTGACTGATTTGTTACTTGCAACATACACGGTCTGCCCATCTAAACTGAGTGCTATCTCGGTAGCTTCAGTAGGCTCGCCTTGACCACTTTTCTTTACGTCTTTGGTATCCACCATTTCTACTTTATCCCATAAGCACCGTAACAGACGTTGTTCGTCAAGAACAATCGTCAAGTGATTAAAGAACTGTTGTTCCGCGGTAGTAATAAGTTCGCCAAATAAAAACCTACAATTAGTCGAAGACAAAAAATTCTCCAAATCATAAGACACATCATAAGAAACCTTTAAAGAAAATGTGTTCTGGATCTCCTTAACAACCCTGAGACAACATAAGCGGGGATAATAGTTTTCTACATCGCAACAAAAAAGAAAACGATGGTCAGGTGAAAACTTTACCACGCCACATACTTCCGGTGTAGCTGTTTGTGTTAGTTTTCTGAAACCACACATCACATCAACCAAACTGATTAATCCCGAAGGATGTGAAATTGCGAGAAGCCTTCCATCGCCAGACCATGCAAAAGATAGAATACCTTCGTCTTCGACAATTCGATCGATCTCTGAGCCATTTTCCAAACTCCACAGGACGAGGCATCTAGAACTCTCTAAACAATTAGTTATAATCTTGGTCTTGTCGCCGGAAATCGAACAAACTGAGAATCGACAGTTACTTTCGGAAAAAAGCGGTTTTAAGTCTCCATCTATAGTATAGGCCTGACATAGAGTCCCAGATAAAACACATTCTCCTGCAGGGTGGAAAACAACAGAACGGTAAAATGAAATACCTTCCGAAGACACATTTGTAACATATTTATGTGTGAAGCACGTCACGAAATTCGATTGTACTACAACTGGACGTGTCCACACTAGCTTGCCAGTCTGGAGTGACCACAGCTGCAGCATTCCATCCATACATTCGCACACCATATAATCCAACTGTGGAGAGACGTCCAAAGAGATCACAAAAGATGAACATTCAAATCGGGCTACAACACCTCCCTGCAGCGTCTCCTTGTAAACAAACTCCATATATGGTATTGAAGGATACCTATTTTGCAAAAGATTCGACGCCTCAACAGTCAACACTTTTCCACCTTGATTAAGTATGGTTTCAAAAAACATACGAGGAGTATCCGTAAATCTACGGAGATACTTTCTCAAGAGAAACAACAAAGTGTTTAGGATATCTTGGTTATCTTTTGATAACAAAATATAAATCCCCTGCTTCTGCAGCCACACAAGATCCTCAGCCGCTATTGTGCTGTTCAAACAGGCCTTAGCATAAATGATTTCTAAATCTATAATGTAGGCCTTTGTCAGTTCGTCCAGCTTATCTGGCTCTCTCTTGACACCTTCGTGTAGCATGTGATGTGCGCCATGATATAGCGCGTATCTCTCAGTGGCACTAAACTGAACGTTATCCACACATTTCAGCTTCAGATTATCAAGTTCTTTAGTACACAGGTCTGCTAGTATGCGATGTCCTTCGTTTTCATCCATGGTGAATTCATGCTCCCCATAACACGAAATATCTGTTAACCAGTCTTTAACTGACTTGTGAATGACATGAAGACAATCGTCACGGACGGGAAGAAGTGCAGACACACTGCTCAAGGATCTCAGTACTTTACGCCTTGCAGGTGGTGAATTAGAATTTGATAGTAATATTTTAGAAACAAACCCGACTGGTAGGGGCTCCCTTGAAGCGATAATGGCAGATAACGTATGCAGGAAATGTTCTTCTTTAATGTTCAGTTCCTTTAAGAGTTCACGCTCCAAACGTTTAAAATAGGAAAGATAAACAGAAGAAATTCCTAAAGGAAAACTGCCATCAGGGTCTCTGTGGAAAGCTGAGGTATTTTCAGTAATGAACATTATGAGGAAATGAGCATACAACATAAGTCCTTCCGATTTCAAAACTAGTCTTTCTACAAACTCGCTCGCACGTTCTTGTTTAACCAAGTGATCCAGTTTTTTTAGACAAAATACTCTTATGTCTTCCAAATTCTTTTCATCATCAGACTTCAGTTCAAATGGCTTCAACACTTCTAGTATTCCTATAATGTTTAAGGCTGGACGTGTCGTGACGAGAAACCGAATCCAAATAGGAAGCTTACAAAACTGATTGGCAATCACATCAAGAAGCTCATTCCGTCCTTGGAATTCGCTTTCATCTACGCCATCTATCACCATGACCATGTTTCTTCCTGGGTCACCTACAGCACTAAGCGGTTCCTTGAAAAGCAGTGCAAACAACTCCTCCACACCCATGTTGTTGAGATCTGTGCCCAGATTTCTTGACAACTGTTCCACAAGAGCTTGTTTGAACTCTGGCAGGGCATGGGACAAGTGACAGGCTAACGACTGAATCATCAACTGCGGTTTACGGTAGCGTACATTGTTATACTGACAAAAGTGGCTTCCTGACAGCCTACCCACCTTTTGCATTCTCTTACATATCACAGCTGCGATGACTGATTTTCCCATCCCTGCATTTCCACTGATTACCATCACACGGTTTTGAGAGCCTCTGTCATCCACCCAGTTCTGAAATCTGTCAAAGACCCACTCACGGGTGCCTTCTTGAAACCTTTGCAAGTGATACTCAATGTCTCCACTGAATTCAGATTTGGCAAGACTTCTAAGTACTTCATCTGCTTTATCCTTATCCTTTTTTTCTTTTAAGCTTTCGACTGTCTTCATTATTTCTTTGAGACCTGCAGCAACTTCGTCCACGTTCTTTGCATTTTGATTTCGAACTTCTTCTATTGTACGTTGAGTTTTGACTTGAGTCTGAAGAACTTCTTCCATGGTCTGATGCACTTCTGCTATGTTTTGATGAGTTTCGGTCTGGTTTTTATGTACGTCTTCCACTTGATTTTGAGTCTTGGCCTGGGTCTGACGTAGGTCTTCCACTGTCGTTTGTGTCTTCACTTGTGCCTGACGTACATCTTCAACTACCTGATGCGTTTGGCTCTGATACTGATGTATTTTCTTCAACTGTGACTTCACATCCTCTTCACTGTCAGCCCACTCAATCAACACGTCAATATAATCTTGCTCTCCACCTTTCTCTGCCTTCAACCTATCCACTTCAGTCTTATCGAGACCAAGACTCACAAGAACACCACTAATTTCAGTCCACAGAGCAGAGAAAGTTGGTGTATCTACACCAGTGGTTGTCACATGACCATATAAGACATTGCGATAGAACTTAACCCGTGCAAGGTTAGCCTCATGAGACGTGTCTCTTGGGGGTGGTTTAGTATGCCATCCTGAGGGGGGAGGGGTTAGTCCACAAATGTTGGTCAGAAGGAGAAACAGAAGAGTGATGTCAAAGGTGTTGGAGTCTGGTGCGACTCCACTCGGTGGGAACAGTTTTTCCCACTGAGGCTTATGCAAAGCCTTTTTCTTCAGTAAGTTGTTAAGAATGGATTTGTTGGTATTAAGATCAGCAGCCAAGTTTGCAGAAGGATGATGACCATCAAAAATCTTCCTAAGAACTGTTGTCCCACCGTCGATGAGAAGCCTGCTGAGCTTGGCTCCATTTGTCTTCTCTACAGAACTGGCCAGCGGTGACGGTGTTGCAGCAGCCATGAAAAGGCCCACTACCCATTTCTGCAGGGGGAGGTAAAACCATGTGTAAAATTATTTATATAACTATTCTATTCTGAAGCAGATTTTGTTGAAACATACGGGAAAAATCAATGAACAAAAGGGTCTGTAAGAAATGTGCTTGAGTTGATGAACCTCTTTTCTTTTTTGCAGTAACACACTCTGTCTTTTCAAAACTTTGGCATACCAAATGACCCAAAATTCTTACTTTTAATGAGAATAAAATCATGATCATTCAATTCTCTTCTTTTGACTTTACAGGTACATCATATTTGTTTGACACACTTGACTCTGTTAACATATCCTGTTCCTAGATATCAGTTATGGGGAGTGGAACTGACCCCACTGACCCACTCCCCCAACCTCTTCTGCTGACTTTACCCTACGTTTTTTAATTAAAAAGCTTGATTTAAAGCCACCAGAAGAGGAGGGAGTTGGGGGAGGGGGCTTAGCTCCACTCCCCAATATCTGATATCTAGGAACAAGAAATGTTAACTGAGCTAGTCAAGTGTGTCAAACAGTTGGAAACACCTGACTGTTAACATATCCTATTTCTAAATATCAGAATATCGGGGAGGGAAGTTGAGCCCCCTTCCCCCACTCCCTCCTCCTATGTTGACTGTACCTCAATAATAATGATAACAACAATAATTTATTATTTGTAAAACGCAAAAATAACATTTAAAAATGATCGAATGCACTCTAACAAAAAATTCCTAAAAACCTTAAAATTTAGTATAAATCTCTATATATCTACAATTAAAAGAAAAAAAGACAATTACTAGATTGGAGGTATCTAGTATAGTAACTATAGTATTTTTGTGGACTTTGTCTTTCTTTTTATTTTTATTTCACTTTGTTCCCTTCTGTAAACAATAACAGTTAACTGTTTCAATGTAAGGTAAAATTTAGTAACCAATAATTAGAATTTATTGTAATGTATTGTAAATGTTTGCGTGTCCAGAATAAAAAAATAAAAAAATAAATAAATGTATATTGTAACTTAGTAAAATCATCTTAAAACGTTAATTGATAGGTCATAAATATTATTATAAATCTATAACTCAAGGCTTCTTTAAAAAGTAACGTTTTTAGTTTAGCTTTAAAAGACTTCAAGCTTCAAACTTTTTTAATAGTTTGTTTGACGCCCTTGACTCTGTTAATATATCCTGTTCCTAGATATCATTTATTGGGGTGTTGAAGCTGAGCCCCCTCTCCCCTTTCGCTCACATGGTGTTCCCAGATTTATAAAAAGCCTGGAACAGGCTACTGTCATAATCACCCTCATGAGGACTAGACAACAAGGTTTATGGAATTAAGATTGCTTTGAATTAGTCCAATGTTGTCCATAAAGGGGGTTGAGAGACTAGATATTACTTAAAATACACTTCTTTAGACAGCAACTAGTAATGTCTGTGTCCCAGGGTGCAAAGAAAATCATTTTTACAGCTTGCCATTCGGGCAAGCTGAAACTAACATTCACTAGCCCAGACGTCATTTCAACTATCCCTGAAAAGCCTTTTGAAGCAGAATTGATCTCACAGTTCTTCTGTTATTCAAATTCATAAAAAAAGATCACTTGCCCGTTGGGCAAGTTAAAAACAGAATTCACTAACCGGATAGCAAAATCCTAGTCGGACTAGCCCCAGGCTATCGGACACTACTTTCTTTGCATGTTGGTGTTCATAATGTAACATAATATTCTAGCCTAGATCATTAATACAAATTTGCAATTCATTTCCCATCAGTTATTACTGTCAGAAATCTCAGGAATACTACAACATTAATCTGAGTTCTTGGGGGTAATTTCCACCCCAAATATTTTGTCCACAGAACATGAATTAACTTTCTAGTTGTTAATAACTAAATACGCAAGAATGTAAGCATGCAAGTAATTACCTTCATACAAGGTATTCTATCATTGCTCCAAGCTTGTATTTCTCCTCTTTATTCCACCACCTATCCATTAAAAAAAGAAACGACAAATAAAAAATCTGCAACAAATAATGAAAATTATTTGTTATTGTGGGGTATGCCGCAAAATACAGGGTGCAAAAATCTCAACCAAAGGCATTTGAGGTATGCGCGTTGATTTAAATCCACCAATCAGCGTATAGCGACCATTGGCAGTTCAAAACCACAACCCTGCCCCGCACAGGGATGTTTGTTTGGTCGCGATACACTGATTGGTGGATTTGAGTCGACGTGCATACCTCAAATGCCTTTGGTTGAGACTTTTGCACCGGTCATGTTGAGAAAGCTGGTCTTGCAACTTCAGGATTGCTTTTCTCGAGAAATTTTGGAAGGATTGAGCTCTCATTTGGATGGGGCATGGATACATATGTAGTGGATCGGGAGCCGGTATTTTCGAGGTAAGAAATTTTCTCGTGTCTTCGCCGCTCGTGTCTTTGGCCTTCGGCTGAAGACATGTTGTCCTGTGGCCGACGAAGCTGACCTCGTCGCATGCTAGAAAAAACCTCTGGTACCCAGGGTAACCACAGAAGGAATTGGAAATTCCAGAGAGGGTGGGGGGGTCAGAGACCCAGGAAAGTCCAGAGAGGAGGCGGGTTGGACAATCAAATCACTTTCCAGGGGGTCAATATCATTTCGTTTTTGACCTGAGTTCGAACATTGCTTCTTACCGACCTGGTAGATCATTTTTAGGACATAAATAACTTGGATTTAACTTGGTTAAGATCAAAAGGAACAATCTTAAATTTTAAGATTGTTTCTTTTGATCTTAACCAAGTTTCCTTTCTTTCAAAAGCGTTCTGGATGCAATTTCAAAGGAATTAGACCGACTACAACTCATTTTATCGCATGCTTGTATATTTGGCCGCCATTACTCGTTACCAGTCTCCCTCAAGACATCAACACGTGCAACACATCACGTTGTGTCAGTCAATCGATTGAAGAACAGTAGAGTGGCAATTTTGCTTCACGAAGCACAAGATATACATTGCAACCATTTTAGAATGAAGAGTTTTTATTCTCCTTTTCATTTTCCCTTAATTTTGTGGTTGAAGGTGTGGCATGTTTGTGATCGAAATCTTGCTGAAATTGTGTCGATTTCACCAAACATTACAGCCATCGCGCATCACGTTGCATTCATATAGTGGTGTGTAGTAGCCTACTATCTATTTCACAGGTTAAGTAAAATCACTCTATAGCTGTGTTATATTGTAAATTGATTTAAAGGTATTATTAGGAAATGAGGCAAGGTTAACACGTTAAGCCCTAAGAGTGATCAGCATCAAATTTCTCCTTGTAATATCAATGCTTTGTAAAACAGAGTGGTCATGAGAATTAAAGACATGATCATACAAGATGAGTTTGCCCAATATTATTTTATCGACTTCTCCCCACTAATTCTGTAGGAAATGAAGAGGAGTAACAAATGAGAATTCAGAATTTCGGGTTTAAAGAGTTAAAAAGTGATAAGTAAGAAAGTTACAAACATTTAAACAATGATTATATTATATGATTTTAGCGTGGCAGTGAATCAAAAGATTAGTGAAAAAGAAGCTTAAGTCTATTTATTTTAAATTCATAAGATTTTATGATTTTTATGCTCTTGTAACTATAAAGGATTGAAATGACTTACTGTACATGTATCTATCACCTTAGTGGGTAGAATAAATTCATTATGAAAGCAGATTGATGCTCCAGTTGGTTTTGGTTGTAAATTGTATATCTATACTCTGATCTATATCAATATAAGATAGAAAGCACATTGCGAAAGATTAAGGTAAAGCAGATAGTTTTTGAAATTATTGACTTTCAATGGGGTTTTAATGCCATTTTCATGGTACCATTTAGCCATTACTTTAACCCATGAAAACGTCAGAGGACCAGGCACAAAATACATTTCATGGGCCATAAAAATGCTGAGAAAAGGTCAGAAAAGTACTCTGAGAATCTTCATGGCTCGTTAAAAATTCCTCGTTAAGGGGATAATCATGACCCATGAATTTTCCATCCCATTAAATTGCCATGAACTTGCACACCATGAAAAATCTGGATATATTTCATGGCCTTTTCCTGAACACCATGAAAATCCCATAACAAGTCAAATTCACGAGTCATCCAAAAAAAAGTCACGGCTTTTTCATGTGTTCTTCATTGCATTTGTTATAATCTAGACTGTTTCATGGGCCATTAACTGTGAATTTTTCAAAGAATTTTGATGGCTTAGTTTTAGCCATGAAAGTCTGGTGAATAACGCATGAAAATCTTGTGAATTTCCCCTGAATAAATTCACAAGATTTTAATGGGCTTTTGTTTAGTAGTGGACTCGACCTCATCCCCAGGTATTCTCAGTTAACTGTTCAATAATCTGGCAATAGAGAGGAGAAGTCACTGTCACATTGCCATGGTAGCAAAATTTCTGGATGACAACAAACTGAAAACGTCACTTAAATTGAATTGGCACTGTTTCAAACGTCATTGATCTTATTCAATTTCATTTCATTTGTAAAGTCGAAATTGTCTGGGGTTGGATCCGAAAGAACTGTATTTGAGTTTTTGTGCAATGTTGACCAACTCCACAAAGCGGGTGTGTGACATTAGGAAGTTTCATGTCGCAGACTAGCAACGACAGCTAAGAAATGTACAAAAATGCATGATGCACCTGCAAAGTTGTTGTTTTGCTAATATAAACCAATTGCTTTCCATGGATTGCCGTTCTTGTTGCTTAAACTCGATCCCCATTGTTGTGATCCAGAAATGCTGCCACCATGGTAATGTGACGTCACACTTCTCCTCTCTATTTTGCTGCACTTTTGATGTCATTTAACTGGTTTGATGAATATGCACAGGATTTTAGCCAATCAGAAAAAGAGAATTATTACTTTGAATGAATAATAATTCAGTTTAGTATATACTGAAACAGTGGATCAAGTGTTTTTTGCGTGCTGTGATTGGCTACTCAAACTTGGGATATCCAGTGTGATTCGCCTACAGACGAAGCTGAACTCGCCTAA